TAAAGAAAAAGTAATCCCAATTACCAACTCTTCACATATCAAGTCCTTTTTGTCTAATATTCTGATGACTTACTGTTCACTAATGCTCATATTGCGTTCTAGCTCCTTCACTTTATTATGTAATCTCATCATGGCACTCTCCTTCTTCTTCTGTATAGGCTCATCAACCTGTTGCTGTTGCTCCTGTTGTGAACCCTCATCCTCCCCTTCATCCACTACCTCTATAGCATCAACAACTTTCTGCACTATTTTACCAACAGAGTGTTCACTCCCCTGTTGCTCTAAAGCTTGCCCTGCTTCAGGACTGTTTTTTTCATTACTTTCAGCATCTGTATTGGATTCTGTGATTTCTGGACCTTTAGGCATGGTTGTTTCTTTTGGTACAGCTGTATGTTGGATGTGCTCAGTGGTTTGCTGTTCTGTTGTCGGTCTATTTTCCATTTGACTAGATTCAATTGTTTCTGTTATACTTATATCTGAGGCAGATATTGTAGCAGTTGGCTGAATATATATCACAGAATCGGAAGACCCAGTGCCTGCTGGGACATCTGCTTTACTTCCTGTTACCTCAGAGGATTCTGGGATATCTTCAACGCCTGTATTTTTTATAATTTCTCCCTCAATCTTAGCACCATTTTCCCTTTCAACCTCTACCTCCTCTTTAACAGGAACATCGATGACTTCAATGATTCCAACAGATTCAATAAGTATGGGTTCATAAGTTTGTGTAGTCTTTTTAATATCAGCACTATTATGATGTTTAATGGATGGTGGCTCACAAAATCTTTGATGCGTACACTTATTAGCAGCATTTTGAATAAAGCCCAGGAAACAGTTTCTCGATATTGTACAAGAGTCAGTGGATCCTGACTGGAGTTGACAGAAGTCACATGTATGTGATTTGGGTTGATTGGAATACATAGGGGGATAGGGATGAGGGGTTTTTGGAGACAACATATCAGAAACTTGCTCATGGGGTTCCAATTTTCTGATTAGCATATTCTCTGGGATTTCACCTTTCGAGTCAGCTAAAATGAAAAAAGAAAACGTTAATACCATTATCATTGTATAAACCATCACTGAAGCTATTGCTTTAGAAAACAGCTATTGAAATATTATATTATTTTACCTCTTGGAACAGTCTGCAGACTATTTCACTGAATTTGCATGCATGGTCTGGTAACTTTACTAGCATGTGTTTTATCTACTGAAAGTCTATGGTGTTACACAAAAATCTCAGCAAACAAAAGGTCAGGAAAATCATATTGCAACAGAGAGATGTTTCATCCTACTTATTATTAACACATGTACTGAAAAGGTTCAAAGACCAACCTGACTCAGTACCAAGTGTTGGTGTTTGAGGCAATGTCTGAGAGGCGTCACCCTTAGTAACAGATTCATTGTTGACATCTATGGGGTCTCCAGATTCTACTCCAGGGACACAGGGCAGCATGTATTCGCCTACAGAGCTATTTTGTTGACCACTAACATTCTGAAGGCCATTTTCATTTGATTTTGCACCAACAGACCCTAAAATAGGAAGTTTCATGTACCAATGTTTAAAATTACATGTAACAGGAAGCTCACATGTATACATAGTAAGATACAGTTACAAATCATACAAGTACACATAAAATGATATAGGCCCAGGAATCAATGTGTTGTTGATGATTAAATTATTGTTTGCAGTTAAGAACAAGTGGGTTATATAGAACAAAGTTTTTCTTTATTGCAGTTTTAGCATGCTAGAATTTTCTAAATGTAGTATAATAATGCAGGCCCAGTTATGTGTGAACTTAAGTTTGAAAGAGTATTTGCATCGAAGGTTAACTTTGAAAGATTACATAATGTGAGACAATTGTAAATATTCAAATGAAATATTTTAATACCAACCATTGTTTTCAGCAGATCCTTTCACAAAGCTATTGACAATATCTGTAACTTTATCAAAAGCTTGTTGGATGATGTTATTCTCTGGTTCCTTATTAACAGCTGTGTCATCACTGGCAACCGCAACAGCATCATCGTCAAAGTCATCATCACTCATTGCTGTGCCAAACACCCTGAAAACGTAAATATGGTCACGTGATATTAAGTGATCAACTCATATGTTTATTTTCTCCTCCAAAATCATGCTTATTCCACTCTGTTTCTCTCTAAACTCATCTGATAGTATGGTGGTATTGCTAGAAATTTTGAGTCAGTTTACTTCATTTCTTTTCAATACACTTTCTTTTACATTTATCTTGCTTTTCAAAGTGTGATCATTGATGAGCTGACCAGATGTTACGCCAAAGCCACCACTTTCAAATGATTGAAAAAAAAATTGAGTATGCTACAACTCATTACTCATCCTTGACCAGAATGGATAATGACCACTATGGCCTGGCACTATGGCCCCACCTATTGCTCAAGTCAATATAGTAAAATATAAGCCTTCTAAACTAGTACTTAAATAACCTGAGAACAGGCCTGGCAAGGTGGTGATAATATTGAAATTTGAATATACCTGACTATGCTCATGGGACAGAAATGTTCATTGCTATAGTAAGTCAACATCTCTATCTTCACAAACTTTGCATACATCATGAACACTCGACTTGAGCTACGATTGAAGTGAAATGCCTGAATAGCACGCTCATCTTTAGCATGGACCACTCCAATTTTCTTCCATTCCTTTGCTGGATATCTGAAATAGTATTATATAATCAAATTTTCACAGTTTTTATAGGTTAACAGTGAATGCATTTTTATTTACATCTAATTTTTACAGTTCCTACAGGTTGTTAACAGTGAATGCATTTTTATTTACATCTAATTTTCACAGTTCCTACAGGTTGTTAACAGTTAATGCCTGGTAGACCAATCACACTTTGCCTGATGATGACAAATGGAAAACACAATTTTTAAACTAAATAATTGTAATTTTGAAGTAGCAATCAGACAGCGTGATAGAAAACAGAATGTGGATAACACCAACATTGACTTTCTAGTATGGAATATGGAAAGTAAAGAATATAAGTAAATACAGACGTTCAAGGGAAGAATATTTTTTGTATTTCATGAGAAACATATGATTCACAAGATCTCCAATAAACGGAATTTGTTATTGAGATGTTGAGGCCCAATAAAAATTAATCTCATTTCAATCAATAAAAGTCTCATTTCAGGTAAAACTGAGTACTAATGGCCCATCTCTAGTGACAAGCATCGATATTGATGCTGTAAAATGGGAATCAATGATTCTGGCAAATAATGAAACCTTTGGGAAACCCCCTGGTTGAAAGGAGTATGCAATATCTTCGAAGAACAGATGAATGCACAAACCTGTCACTAACAGTGATGTTTAACATATCAGGAGTTGAGGAGAACAGCTCAAAGTTAGCTAGCTCTATCTGATCAATCTGTACTGGTTCACATAGCTCTATGACAACCCTGGAGAAAAATAGAGAAACACTTGAAAATACATTCAGCATAAAAATAGCATACTGTCCAGGCCCGTAGCCAGGGGGGGTTCGCAGGGTTCGGGCCAAAAATTCTTTCAAAATCATGCAGTTTTTGACCACTTTGAGCACTTCTCTAGTGATTTTAGCCTAATTTGGGCCAAAATTGTCAAATGTGAACCCCCCCTGGAAATTTTTGAAAATTGAACCCCCTTGGCAAATCCTGGCTACGGGCCTGCTGTCCCAGGTACACTGTATATTAAAAAGATGTATAAATGTCAAGGGATTAGAAAACATTGAGAATGTCTTTCTGAGCAATATCAGCAATTAGATTTCTTTTCATTACTAAATGCAACACATGTTGTTAAAGTATAAAACTTTCAAGAAATAATATCAAAATTGGTCAAAAGTAGGTTATTAAAAAGAAAGTAGATCATTGTAACTGCTCACTCCATCAATATTTTATAAACTTCTGTTTTCTTTACATAAAATGAAAGCTCAATCTCAATTCCAAGTACGTAAACAAACCCCTTTTTCAAAAATCTCTTCAAATTGTTTAGGCATTGATCAGATTAGCTTGACCTTAGGATTTTAACAAAAATTGTCAATTTCATTTTAAATACATCTTGATTCTCAAGGTTTTAGTTGCTCCAACTTCATTATAACCAATTGGAATTTGAAGATAGTTTAAATATAGGAGGAGTGGGAGTGCTGTCAATCAATTCTGGGATTGAATAAAAGTCAGTGTTTGATTTATTCATGAAAAATGGTGTCCACTTTTCACATAAAGACACCAACCAACTTACCATTTCTTAGCTTTGCAGGGGTTAATCATATAGAGATCTCTGTTTTCACTGAGGATGTTATGGGGGTTGTCTGCCTCTGGATTCCAAGCCACAACTTTGGCACCACATTGGGCTGATGCCTGATTCTGACGTTTCTTGTTAGACTTACTACCATCTTTAACTACAAAAATATACAGAATAATGTCCCCTTCTTTGTAGTAGCTCATGGAATTTTAAAAAGACTTAAGGAAATATCACACTCTGACTCCCCTTCTTTGTAGTAGCTCATGGATTTTTGAAAAGACTAAAGGAAATATCACACTCTGACTCCCCTTTTTTGTAGTAGCTCATGGACTTTTGAAAAGACTAAAGGAAATATCACACTCTGACTCCCCTTTTTTGTAGTAGCTCATGGACTTTTGAAAAGACTAAAGGAAATATCACACTCACTCCCCTTCTTTGTAGTGGCTCATGGACTTTTGAAAAGACTAAAGGAAATATCACACTCTGACTCCCCTTTTTTGTAGTAGAGCCATGGGCTTTTGAAAAGACTAAAGGAAATATCACACTTACTCTTGCACCCAGGTCTTGCACATTTAATTCAAATAAAAATGTGTAAAAATGATATTTGTTCAGTGATTACTTTTTCGGTGAATATAGATTTTTGAATTAAATATTGGAAATTAAAAGGGCAAACACAGAGGATGGCAAATCAATAAAAATCTATTTTTACAAAATATGTTCATACTAGTCGAGAAATCCAGTTTGACTATATGTTGAGATGAAATGTGTTGAAAGGAACTTCAACTGAATTAAATGAACTACCAGCTGCATGTTAATGAAAAACACATGTAATGTTGCTTAATACAGTCTGGCACATAACCTCAAGCAAATTGTTAATGTTAACGAATGAGAGAGGTCACCTAACAGGGTGTCTGATTGATGAACATATTGCATATAATGCACCTACCAGGGCGTTCAATAAGTTCACGGAAAAATACTCTCATTTCAAAGTCAAGTTACCATAGTAACAATTATTTTTGACCAATCAAATAAGAGATGATGTTGATGTTTTAAGAATCAATTTGAAAATATTAATAACAAATTGTGAAAAAATTTCGTTAGAAAATATCTAAAATCCTTGAAATGAGAGTATTTTCCAATGAACTGATTTTTCTCTTCTGGGTGCAAAATTTAATTTTGTCCTAAACTGATCAAAATATCATCCATACTATATTTAAATAGTTTCATATTTTTTGTGAATTCATATGAAATACCTTTATGGATCAAGCTGCAAATCCAATTTTTTACATTACAATCTCAATATAGTGCATCATTTAGTTCAGGGGGGGGGCACATATAGTATACAAACCTTGTGTATTCTCCTCCTTTGATTTTTCATCTAGCTGCTCAGACAAGGATTTATGATGTTTCCAATCCTCAAACGACATCATGTTAGCATTTATGGGCACATTTATATCTTCCTCTACTTCATCATCCTCCTTGGATTTTGCAGCTTGATCAATTTTACCACTTGGAGGCTCAGTCTTGAAGTCTTTAGGTGTATCAGTATCAACTCCATCATCTTCACTCTCTGCTGCAACAACTTCAACAGGAACCTCTTTATCTCCATTAGCTACTAGCTGTTCATTGGTATCTTTATCAGTACCAGGCACTGTCTCACTAAGCAAAGGATCCTTTGCCTCAGTGGTAACAGGTGCATCTTCAGCAACTTGAGGCTTGTTGTCTTCTTGATTATCTGATGTAGTTTCTGATTGGGATTTATCGATTACAATATTAGTGCTGCAATCTATAGATTTGACATCTTCATGCTCTTCAGGTACAGAAATTTTAGCAATAGATTTATCCTGGTTTTCAGATGCAATATTTGTTGTTTCTAACAACCTGAAATACATATAAATAATAATGATTACTTTGATTTTCTGAATTAAAGGGTCTATAAATACTTTTAAAACTAGGCCTGTCAAAATACTTATGGTAAATATAATATTCGGGAAATTGTCAATATAATAAGCAGCCCATGCAAATTCCAAGTATTTACAAATAAAACTATAATTGCAGTGTATTTGTGAAAACAATAGATAAAAAACAAATGCAAATGATTATTATCAAGCAGTATATACACCTATATTAGGTGTCCACTGTAAATAATTTGTATTTTGATTTATTGTTCTTTGAAGAAAAAAATAAAAAATAAAAATAAAAATAAATGTATGTGTTATTTCAGTGTGGTAAAAGCCACAAATATATTAAATACATTCTAAAAGCTCTGACAAAAACAGCACTTAAATAGCTTCCAATTAGGAACCAGCAGAATCAAAAAGCTATCTCCATAGTTTGCTACTGCATAACCCACATACAATCAAATAGATCTGTCAAATAACATAAGGCTAAAATTCTAAGGAAACTGAATTCAATAAAATTAATTGTTCACTTACTCTTCCTGTGGTTCAGTGCCTGAAGATGTTTGTGGGGTTGGAACAGGCTGGGGTGGTGGGTGAGTTATGTCAGACTCTGGGGGAGGGGTCACAGCCTCAACTGAAATATCCATATCACGACCCTGGAAAAATGATAATATATTCGATATCATTTCATTACCAATAAAGTACATGCACAAAATGACGAGTGTCTTTTAGACCCTATATTAGCCCCCAAGATATTTAGAAAAAATTGTTATAGGATATCCTATGATTTTGAGGAATATCATTTTTATCTACGAGGCTATATTGATATCTGCACGAGAGAGCGAAGCGAACGAGTGCATATATCAATATCACCGAGTAGATTAAAATGATATTCTGAAAAAATCATAGGATGTTCTTATTATCCTACAGTTACAAGGAGTGTACTAAATGCATAATATCATTGCAAAATGAATTCCATGCCAAATAGAGTCAATTTGGCGAGAAATCAACAAGCGGAGTATATCGTCACAATATCCTCCACATATTGGGTTTTCTGGAGTATATCGTCACGATATCCTCCGCCCGGAGTATATCGTTACGATATCCTCCGGATATTCATTTTGTCAATAAATATCACATTCATTTTTTAATGTTATTATACATTTAGTACACTAAGTGTAGGATAATACAGGATATCAAAGAAGAGACTTTGTTAGATTTCAAAATATAGGTCATTCTATTAACGTGTATAAAATGACATTTTCAAGGAAAATCACTTTTCACATCATTATTGTCAATGTTTCTATTTATTATCAAAATAATCATTATTTTTAGTTGATCCTCTTGCGTATTATCTGAAATAATAGAGACAAAGCATAATGGGCAACATTCGAAAACATACAAAGTATAACAAGTCAAAATGCAAACAAAATATTGAATAGTGATCTTCTTTATACTTCACTCAAGATCAATTGTCTACAAAAAAGTTTGCAAAACTATGTCAGAAAAGAATATCGAGTCTTTTAATTTACATCACAATGAGAAAGAACAAGGAGCAACATTAAATGAAAGGACCCATGGTCCTGTGCTCACACAGTTTGGAACCTTCAGAGGAATGTATATCCTGACTTTCAAACCAAAATATTGATTTGGATTTGTAGTCTCGAACTTTGAGAAACTTAGATAGCACAGTTATGTGACCTAGTTTGATGACCTTTGACCTTGAAAATTTTACTTAGAGCTCAGTTAGGTCTTTTGTAATTAAGCTGACCAAAATTTACATCCAAAAATCAATTTGAAAAATCAACTTTTTTGACCTTTTGAAGGTCACTGAAGGTCAAGTAAAGGTCAAATCCTAAAACTAATGTCAGATTTGAACTCCTGGCAACTTGTTGATGTTTTTTGAAAAAAAAAATGGTCAAATTGAAGCAAGTTGAAAAATAACTTATTTTTACTGTTTTTTGACGTCAAATATCTCAAAAATGATAAAAATTTGATGCTGACATATATTGAGCAATATGTAGGGAATGCTTAAATCTAGTAATAATGTAATTCATTGCAAGAAATGATAAGGCAAACTTTGAGAAACTTGTCAATCGCAAAACCTGCCATTGGCTTTATACATGAGAAAGTTTCCTGAAAATGACTAGTCCTACTTTTTGTCAAATTTTATAGAGTAAACACCAAAAACTGTAATTCCAAGAGCTTTGAAATCTTCAGATGACATAAGTTGCATATAAAGCAACTACTACAAGTTATTTGAAAGTTCTTCTTCAACAAACACAGATAATCAGGTCAATTATCGGCAAATGATTCAGGAGTTACCTTCCAGAGTTAGGCAGGCTAGCCTGGAAACCAAATGATATCCAAATGAAAACACAGTGGTCTCAAATTGATACACACAACAAAAGCTACACTAGAATCCCAACCAATGCAGTTTCTTGAACCTCTGACCTGTCTGTATAAGGGGGCTATAAGACATTGTGAGGGCCTCCCTATTCATATTTGACGGCCCATACTTTTTCTTTGAGGCTATTTGAAGGACCATTTTTATGCTAAACCCAAGCTAAGAGACCTAGAACAACTAAAGACCAGCATCCGAACAGAAATCAAAACATTCCACCAGAAAATATCAAATGTGATGAACAATGTAGTAGTAAGGATATAGACTGTCATCAAAATATGAGGTCACATTGAATATGTGGTGTACACAGTAAAGGGTTTAGTATCAAAAAGGCAAAACTGAATTAAAAATTGTGTATAGGGGAAAAAACTTTCATCTTTTATCTACAAGACCATGCAAAAAATGTCTGAAAATATTGATTGGTTTGTCTATGGTGTTGATATACTTTTGGGTACATTTTTTGAGACACCCTAGTATATTTCCCATCTACTTGAAAATGGTCGTCTGTGTATCGTTTAGATTGGTTGGCATGAGATTGCAGTTCACTCATACAGTTCCCTTTGCTTTGGGCATTTTATCAGCAAATGTCGTTTTCCCGCCTACTGATTGTGACTTACAGTATATTTCTTCTGCATAATTAAGTTGACCAGGATTTCTAAATATGAACATTGGTATGATCAGCCAGTGAACTGTAAAAAAACTATTCAACTATCCAGTGAACTATAAAAAAACTATTCATTGACAAAAATGCCGTCTGTCACATGAAGATAAAATGATTGTACAACAATCATCTCATATGAATGTATTGAAAGGAATTGCATCTTATTATGTTGCTTAGAGCCATGATAAAGATATATGCTTCTCAAGAGGTCATGCTCCAGTACAAGCATACACATTAGTTCATGAAAAGATCATATGAATAGAGAAAATAAACTTAAATATATAAAACACAACTGTCACAATCATTCTAAAGATTTTCAAAATGGCTGACATCATTTTATTTCATGTTTAAAATTGCAGAAAAGTTCCATTTTTGCACAATGCCTGGTCCTTACCTAGATTTTTACATATCTCAAGAAGTACCTTAGAAGTACACTATTCCCTTACTACATATAACTTTCTAGGTAAGAACCAGGCGTCATATGAACAAAGCAAGAGTTTATCATGACCTTCCTCTCTCCAAAAAAAAGTAGGTCAACACAATTGCAAACATAACTAATCCCTACTCAATGACTATTGAAATATGACTATTTATGTGTACAAAATATTAATCCAATGAGTGTATAGAGTGACACAATCAAACAATGGGATATCTGCCAAGTTGGGTTGATACATTCTGGAGACAATTTCTGAGACTGATAAAAAATTCACATTTCATGGGAAGTGATACATACATGTACCTCCCAAATCAACCAAAATATACTTATATCAGTAATCTTGAATGTTTTTTATTGCTATTTTTTGAAAATACACATATTTATCTACAATTTGATCCTACATATCAAGGATATTAACGACATTGCATTTTTCAAAAAATGTTAAATGACCCCAGGGGTGTCTATAGCCATTCGTTCTTTTATTAATAGTGCCATGGTCCTGAGAAATAAACTAATTTTGTTAGTCATTTAACTTGAATTGTATTTTTTCTTAAAGAGGTTCCATTGGTCCTCTTTTATGACAATTTTAGTCTTGGTTGCCATTGTGGATATGGGAGGGAGTTAGTTGATTTGTGATTCATTGGGTCTCTTAAGCTTTCACTTGCGAAAAAGCATCAAAAAAGCATCAAAATAAAGAGACCACACATTTGTTCGCAAAACCTCAAACAATTTAAGATATACAAATGTTTTGCATTTTTTCAAACATATTGGTCTTTTGATTGCTTATATTTTAAATTTGATCGATGCATATAAGTCAACTAACGCACACTTTAACTCATACAACAGTACAATATTGATATATCTCCCTTCAGTTTCTTTTTAAATTGTTGACATTTTCAAGAGTTTAAATAAACTCACAAACACTAGCTATTCATTGTTAGTTGTCAGATTTATGCACCAGTACAACAACCCTTTGACACCTTACTATGTTGTTAGAAAGGTTAACATAAAATTTTTGTTTCACTATTTGATAAGATATAGACTGCTCGATATCTATCCCACATCTAGTAAAAGCTACAAAATGTTGAATATTTATGAGACAAGATGAACACTGGTGAGTGTCTCAAAATGAATCTATTTAAACATGTAAAAGTAGAAAGTTTAATATGGGACACTATTCCAAGCATACAACGAACCAGTTAATGTGTTATCATCTCAATTCATAAAATAGATCTATCTATGATATCTTATTTACTAAATTTGTGAAAATGAGTGAATTAAATAAAATCATGCACATTAAAAACAAACTCATGAATTTAAAAATCTATTATTTCCCTTGAATAATATTTGACTTCTAAACAGAAATTACAACTAATCTAGTTGATTGATATTCGCGTTATAACATTTAATCATTATGCTACACCTTCAAAGGAGTTACCCTGACACAACTACATTATTGATACATCATATCTTTATACCCTACAAAAAATTCACATATAATTCAACCAACCTCAACTTCTTTATTTTCATGAAGATCTGTTTGAGATTGTAGTTTGTCACTGGGATTGTCATGGTCACCATGGCTTGCATCGTTAAGGTGATTGTTGCTATTTTGATTTTTGTCTGGAGGGTCATTCTCCTGTGGAGTACCCTCCTCTTCTACTGCTACATCGCTACCCTGGTCCTGGCCATTAGCAGTGGCAATATTTTCTGTATCCACAGTCTGCAATTACAGAAAATGTAAATTACATCTCTTACATATAATCAATGTTGGAAACTTTAGGAAACACACAAAACTCATTTGTTCACATACCAAAAGAATGATTACAGATAAAATTGACATACACTCTTAGTTGTATAATCTTGACCCATTACACCTAAGCTGAATTTGTTTCATTTTAACAAGTAACGATACATTTTCTTGCTCACTATACAACATTCCATAATAAAAAGGCTATTTGGTATATTCTTTTCTGTTCAGAATGCATTCTTGCAATCTTCAATATCTTCCATATTTTATCATGTATCTCAATTACCATTTCAAATAATAAAACAACATTTTAGGGGAAACATGGTTTCTCATTTTGAAAAACCTGATTCTAACATTTTACCCGCTTTTGTATTACTTTTCGATTATGATAAGACTTTTGTTGAAAGAAACGTACATGTAGACAGGAAGGGCTGTAAGATCTAAGTGCAAAATATCTCTGTACACGAGAAGGTTCAAGTAAAAAGTTATATTGACTGAACATGTGAATTTAGCCAATATTGAGTGTAACAGCTTTAGCAAAACCAATGGTGGAAAATAAATTATCTGATCCCTTTTGAGAGAAAATACGCAAAGAAAGATGTACTGGATTTCTTAGTTATTTTTTTATAATTGGTGCATTTCTTGAAATTAAAGATCCAATAATGGATGCATTGCACCTGAACTATAAACTTGTTTATGTACTAACTAAGTTATAAAAAATCTATTTAAACGACACAAGAATTGAGCTTTGATACTAAACACGTGAGTGAGCCTTAGACGCCTCTCAAAAATACAGGTTTTGGTATAAATACAATTGAAGTGAGTAAATGTCAAAAGGCTATGATTTTTTAGAGAGTAAAACATTTATTTATGCATTTAAAATATATTATATAGATTGGGATTATCCAAAGGCTAATATATCTATCTGAGGGCCAAAGATTCTAACATGACTGTATTCACTATTCTATAAACTCGCTGATCCACAGCTGGATGACTCTTACTGCAATTAGCTTCATTCAAGATGGTTGCCGAGATTCTTTCGTTTTTGATAAACCTCCAATTTAAGCTAAACTAAGCTGAATCTTGATTCCATAAGTTTCGCCATGCAAATTAATAAAACTATGATTGTATCCAACCACAAATGAATGCCCAAACACCCGCAATATTGGAGAATTTTAAAGAAAACAGCTTCACTTAGAATGACACTAACTGAAGTTGATGATCTATGTCATCATTACGTCATGATGATGGGGGTGCAATTGTGGCATAAACAAGCCAAAAAATGTGATATTTTACAAAAATTGCAACTTCCACCTTCTTATATCTCATGGTTTTATTTTTATTGGTTATTTAAAATGGCTGACATGACTGAGCTAACAGGTCCAAAACCTAATCAGATGTAGAATGAAGTGAGCTGAACAAAATATTAAAGTTTTAAAAGTAACTGTGAAGCCGTTTTTCTTAAAGTTTGCAGTCAAGGATTTTAGCATTTGATTTCAAAATGGCCGACAGGAAGTAGGTAGATTTTTTTCATCCACATCTGTATGCACTCATTAGTTATCCCTGGAAATTTGAAGGTGATATCTGTAGCTGTTTTGGAGAAAACTGCCGGACATACGGAGGGATGGACAGACGGACGAACGTGCCTAGGCTGACAATATGGCCCCACACTATGTGGTGGGGACATAAAAACTGTACAGTTGTAAATATGAAAATTATCAATATGTAGCAAACCTCCAAATGACTTCATATATCAGAAGGACTATAAAAGGCCATCCCAAGTCAAATATGTATGTTGCATGACAAATAGGTGTTATATAGCACTATAAATATATTAAACATACCCTACAGTCCTCCGCGTGCTGTACTTACATGTTTTCCTGTGTTGCTTGCTACCTCTTCTAGATGACTCTCAGAGATAGAAAGTTCACACCAAACACTGAAATACAGATATGAACATTTATAATGTATTTAAGAGTTTGATAGACCAGGGAGTGAGTGGTGAGAAAGATTTTGTACCTAGCCATATTTATTAATTGATATAATACCTGATCTGAAGTCTATATCATGATTTGAACATAACAACTGACCAAAAGTTTGCAAAATTGTCACACTATTATTATTTTTTATTATTATTTATTTTTGCTCTCACTATTTACAACAGTGGCAAATGAAGAGTATCAGTGCGGCAGAATGACATATCATTAAAATACAATATATTACAGCATTAAAAACATTAAAATATTTGTTAAAATATATTACAATATTGGACAATAAATATCAGTTATGCAATATTATACACAATAGACTTTTATCTTCGTGGTAATTACAGAAAAATGAAAGCGAATAAAATCAATGTTTCAATATCTCTTTATTGATATCAACTAAAAATGTTTTTGATAGCTTATGAAAAGTAGAGCCTAGATCATGTCCCCAATATATAGCTACATCATCCCCCAAAATCCAACGCGTTTTCTCAAAAATGGAAAGTTGCAAAAACTGTTAACAATTAAATTTGGGCATTCTTTATTGAACTTTTCAAAAAACATATTTCATTGTGTTGTTGTGGAAGGGCAAGTAAATAAGCGGTGTTCAAGTGTATCTTTTTCAGAGAGGCAAGTATTACAAAACCCATCTGACAGTCCCCTCCTTTCAAGATCAGTATTCAAACCCAAACACTTAGCACAAGCTCTGAATTTGATATGCTGGCTGTAGAAATCCATGCCTGTTTTCAGATAATTTTCTAAAATGGTATGGTTCTTAACAGTCTTAAATAGTGACAATGATGATTTATCGCATATTGCCTTGTTCAAGCATCTTACCCATTGTTCATTTGAAATATTTAAATAAGATGTGTACCAATTTGTATCGTCGCGGTATATAACATCATCAAGTCCAATCTCAGTTAGGATTGAGTGGACTACATTTCCAAATTCCAGATTTAGTAAATACATGTACCACTGAACAAAACACTACAGTGTACAGACCAGATACTGTATCCATGAATAAATACATAAAGGTTCTGTACTGAGAGGTTTTGGATATGGGGTTTATCCAGAGGGATATATGCATATCTACCTGAGGGACCATAGGGACCAAATGAAGATTTGCATATTTCACAAGGAATATATAGAGATTATCCTATATGAGGTTCAGGATATTGGGATTATCCCGAGGCAAATATAATATATTTTCCCTCGGGACCTGCGGCCCTCGGGCAAATATATTATATTTGCCTCGGGATAATCCCAATATCCTGAACCGACTATAGGATAATATGTTTATCCCATACCAATCTTGGTCATCTGGTTCACATTGTTCAATCGTGGAAATATTTTAGAATATTCATGTCCAGTTTTGTTTTCTTGGCAGTGGGCAGATTTTCCGGTTCTCTCAAATATTCCCACATTTATTTTCTCGAATTTTTGATTAAGTGGATGCTCCTTCCCTTTTTTGAACCATTAAACAGATCCCGATTGTCTGTGTTTTCTCCATTGTCGTTTACAGTCATTACGCGAACGTTACAAATTATGCGAGCGGCGATTATGACGTAGCGGGCAGATGCGGGACGTAAAGCTATATCTGCCCGCTGATGAAAATATAAGTTTTTACAAACCGGCTTTATGTACATGTAACACGTCCAAGTATGGGATAAATACCGGTACCGGTATATATCTTACAAACTTATCTCCCCAAAACTCTACTTGGCATAGGATAATGGGTGAAATATTGACTTTGTTGACAGTTATAGAAAACATGAATACAGTCATGTTGTAATAGGTATGCAATATTGCAGATTCATGTCAAAGCTTGGTTCTCAATTCTCAATTCAACTTCTGGCAGGCCGTGTAGTTCTGATAATAATACCATGATTATCACTGACACTGACAAGCCCAAATTAAGAAGCTTGTCAAAAGATTGATGTCGCCAAATAAGCCATACACATGTATTATCAGCTTGGGGGAAGGATGTATTTTAGATAAAACTGTCAACCTCTGAAATGTTGTTATTTTGCGCACTTTTTGAGGTCACCTGACAATGACAGCTCTGATGTAACGTGTGCAAAGTTATTCTGGCGAAAAGTTGTTGTAAACTACCACAAACGCTGGACCAAAGTAGAAATATACATACATAAGTTTCACATTCGCATGCATTCCGATAATAAAATAAATATTTATAATTGACTGAACTTCACAAAAAAATTCTAGTGGAAAGAGCACTGCAATATTATTCATTACATATACAAGGAATTGATTGAAATGCATTAGTTAGACTGTATATTGATAGCTAAAAATGTTAACACAATAATTATATTTTTGGCCGATTTTCCCCCCGATATCATGATAAAATGATCTTTTTGGAAGTGTTGATGATCCAAAAATGTGGCCTTGATACGGTAAGATAGCATGAATATAATCTAAATCAAGTAAAATGGTTAAGTACAACTTTAAGCCAATATCAAATTCTTATGGGCTTAGATTAAAGAAATGGTCTTGTGTTCCAATGCATAGTTTAGACATTGAACAGTATTAATGGTTTACACTCAATAATACCATGGGGTTTCTCTGCTGAAAGCCCATGATAATACAGATATATGAATAGTAGTCCCTGCTCTAGATACCCTGCTTGCAGAGTCTAGTTAAACTACACTCTGCCTAGTAGAAACCATATTACAGTTTAGTAGCCCCGCCCCCACGACGGGTGCCGGTGACAGTTCGGGTAATAAATCACTTCTGACCTATGCGCTGACCTTTCTTCCACCAATCAGTGAGCTTGAAGAAACACGCGCCAAAATAAATTCTGATTGTGATTGATCAATTCCGGGCTTAACGATGACGTCAGAAGGAATGACCATATATAGAACGTCGGTCAAATTTGGCCGACGAGCACTGATTGGCGCGGTGAGTTCACAGGTTTATTTTAGTTTGAAAGAGTGAAGACGGAGCTCTCTTTTAAGAAGTGAAGTCGAACGAATGCAAAGGGTATGCTCTAGAGCTCTAGATAAGGAGTTTGTTGTTCGGGTGGTTGCCACAAAAACTACTGAATATTGTTCTCCATATATGCTCTACATCGGGTTATTGTTACATTTTTCTAGTGACAGGGACTTTCACTTTAATAGACAATGAGGATGTAGGCAAGGATGTATTGACTTATAAAATGGGTATATATGCGGTATTGACTTAACATAGGGATATCATCATATTCTCAAGCCATCATAGATAACGTGGCAGGTACACCTTTTTTGAAGCATTATGCAGTGTTCTTTATTACTTTGCTAGGTCTAAAAATTGCTCATGTGGGGTTGATTCACAGGAACCTATATCAACTGACAAGTATTGATCTGATTTATATTGTCAAGCAAAAATATTTATTTCAGGAGAGCAACATAAAAAAATGAACACCCAACTCTAAAAAACAAAAACAAAAAATTCACACGAATTGCGTATATGTCACACATCTCCTCCCTCGTTAACGGACTTCGTGGAGCAAAGGGAATAAGATTTGAATCAAGTTGTTCAAAATTTGAACCAAGGTGTTCAGATTTGGACGAAGATGTTCACAATTTGAAGGTAGGCGTTCAATATTTGTAAGTCAGCCATAAGGGTATTCCCAGGTTGACAGGCTTAATACATAAGCTTCTATTCTAAGGTGTGTATTACTCTTATATATCTGGGTTGATTTTTCCACAGACTTCTGCCAGATTACCTCTTCTTCAGTGGTGTCTAGGCTCAATAAATATACTCCAGGACAAGACACAAAATCTTCGGAAAATTTATATTCCCTTGATTTTGGAGTCAGTTTATCAATAAATATGACATGTCATATGACGATGCGCACTGTTGTTAGCTGCATCTCCAATCATTAAGCCACACATTCAAGAAAGCGTCTGTTGATAAAAGCATAAAATAAGCGAGCGTATATTTAATGGAGTGCTTCGGCTATTTCCTTTGTTCAAATGTTTATTCCCGAAGTCAAATGTCTTGTCTGATAATATGACGCCACTCCGAATGACGTCACATCAGAGATTACCGAGAAACCCCATGACAGATCTTTAAAATCCTGTAGAAACAATAACAACGATTTGTTAGGCTACACGATCTTTACTTTCATTGGCTGTTTGTTGCGATGTGATGTAATTTTGAGAGACAAACATCGGACATTGCCAAAAATTACCGAAACACTCCATTATCTTTACGCTCTGAAAATTTTAAAGAAATGTCAAGGGAAAATTTGATTTACAGCGTCAATAATTGATATCAGTAAGCTTAGGTTGGATGGAAAAAATAAAGGTCAGTATGAGGGTCATATTTTTGAGGTGGTCATTTTGATGTGCCATTTTTGGTTCGTGTCTTACCTTATAATTTATCCTTTAATCCTACATCGAATAGGGGCTAGATCTGTCTCCGGATCTGTAGATTTTTCAAAAAAAAATTTGACAAGGACACACTGAAAGTCACAAGTGGTTGTATTCTCGCATTGACTGTGAAAACTTACCTCAAAAGTAAAACACATGTGAATAAAGCATTGGAGAGTATTAATTCTTTCATCCTACGAGTTTGTACGGCTTATATCCTGGTGAATACAGTGAAAACACTGCTTGATATGAGAACATAAATTCATCGTTTCTGAACAGGATGACGTGTGTTTACATGTGCTGCGCATGCGCGGTGAGTCTTGGAAGTTCGTTCAGTGAAATTAAGAGGACTGTTCCAGAACTCCCAATACCCGGGACGATGCAGTGTTCTTCTTGTGACCGAACACCACAGACACGGGAAGAAGAGTTCTCCCTCCCATTCACTATGTATTACTTATTTTTTACATTTGCGATACAGTGACTGAGAGGGGGATTTAAAATTTAAATCTTCCTGGGCCTGTGCCGAACAAACTGCAGCCATCACAATAATAAGGTTGAAAAAATGAATGGCGGCCTCAGCCAAGTCCTCGATAGTATAGTGGTGAGTATCCCCGCCTGTCACGCGGGAGACCGGGGTTCGATTCCCCGTCGGGGAGGCTTTTCTTTTTATTTTTTATCAATTATTTTTTAATTTCTAAAAATCAAATATTTTTTTATTTTTAATTAAAAATCAATTATTTTGGGTGTCGACTTTTGGCAATCAACCGAAGATACTTCAAGAAAAACCAGAGATTGCCGAAGATTGCCGAAGCTTTTCTTCGCAAACGAAGTTGGCCGAGGCATGGGCTTTCAATTAGTTGAAAGCCCATGGCCGAGGGTACCACGAATGTGAAGAGGACGCCTCTAATTGGTCAAAAATAGAGGCTCGGCATTCTCCGTCAGATTGAATAGGCAAAATTCGGTTGTATGGCTTACCTTCGGTTGTATGGCTTACCTTCGGCTGCATGGCCCAACCTCGATTGATTGGAAAAGATGCTGTCCCACTTCAGTACCCAGTGATTTGCGCGCGCACGCATAAATGTGATTATATTATTACCCATTTACTGTAGGCTATTAAGCACAGTGACCTGCAGAGGGCACTATCACAAACAAGTGCTGCACGAACCGATAAATTCTCGGGTATTGTAACGCCCTTGCACAGATCAATAGAGTTTGTCATGTGCTCAATCCAAGCTCCTTTCATACATTGAAATGTCCATGTCGATGTTGCCATAAGGAATTCTCCCAACTGATCTCTGTTTTTGATATTCTTTAGCTCATCAATAGTTTGGTGATTGTGTCATTGTGAATTGAAACTTCCCAACCTGGTGGTGCTTCACGTGCAACAAGCCGACTTAAGCCTACATTAGATGATGCAGAGACATATAAATGTTTGCTAAAACATAAAACTATTGACAAAAAAACAAAAAGTTGATATGTAAATTAATCTTTCTTTTTTTGATGCCAAGGGATACAATAGGTCTTTTCTATCTCTTTCTGAAAAGAAAAGACAAGTATAGTCATTTGCTAAACATATCTACTCTGGTACCACAGCGTTTCCAGTTCTGATGTTAACCAGATCGCAGCGTTTCTTGAATATGAGAATGCCATCATTTAAAGACTGGATTTTCAGTCATCAAATCATAATTACGATAATTAGAAAATGAAAGGTCCAGGAATTATCGAGGACATTTTAGAAAATAGTGACACTGAGGAGCTTGAGATAGTGGCCACATTGGCTAAACATGATGGAACAAGTTACCTGGAAGTGCGAAATCACACTCCACTAGAGGAGAATGTTTGCCACATCTCTGGAGAAGCCAAGGAACAAGAGTATGAGAGTTCATCTGTGGAAGAGTTGAAACCGATCCCACCTTTACCGGACTTTCTTCGAGGGTTATTTGATCGTAGTTGTAGTGGTCTGAACCAAGATCAAAGTGATCAGCTTCAAGGTTTTTTGTGCAGGAATATGGATATTTTTGCCAAGGATGACGAAGATCTCGGCAAGACTAATTTGACCAAGCATACTATTAACACGGGAGAAACTCCTCCCATTAAACAGAGGTATAGAATGTTACCCAAGTGTAGACAAGAGGAAGTCGATAAATTGATAGGAGACATACTAAAAAGGGGCTTACTGTAATTGAACCCTCTCAGAGTCCTTGGGCATCGCCCATAGTCCTAGTAAGGAAAAGGGATGGGTCCTGGAGGTTCTGTGTCGACTACAGGAAACTCAATGATGCAACAAAAAAAGATGCTTTTCCCATCCCAAGGATTGATGACACTTTGGATAGGATGAGTGGTTCAAAATATTTCAGTACCTTGGATCTAGCAAGTGGATATTGGCAGGTGTCTTTAGACCCTGATGCCCGGGAGAAATCGGCCTTCATTGTAAGGGGTGGCTTATTTCAGTGGACCGTCATGCCTTTTGGGATGTCCAATGGCCCATCTACGTTTTGTCGATTGATGGAACAAGTCCTGGGTGGTCTTAGTAACAATGGATCACTTGTGTACTTAGATGATGTCATCACCTTCGCTCCTAATTTCGAACTATCCCTGACGCGTCTAGAGCAGGTTTTTGAGCGTTTACGTCAGGCTAATTTGAAGTTGAAACCTGCAAAGTGCCTGTTATTCCAGAATCAGGTGAACTATCTGGGACACGTAGTTTCCGAGAGGGGACTTGCACCAGACCCAAAGAAAATTGACTGGATTAGAAATTATCCTACTCCTAGGACCATGAGGCACATCCGCCAATTCCTGGGAGGGGCTTCTTATTATCGTCGCCACATAGAGAATTTTGCCAATATAGCCGGCCCCTTTCATGATCTTACACGCAAGAACCAAAGATATCGATGGAATCAAAAAGCAGAGGAAGCTTTTCTGACCTTGAAGGAAAAACTGACAACAGCTCCCATTCTGGCATTCCCTATGGATGATTGCCCTTACATCCTGGATACTGACGCTAGCTATGAATCTTTAGGCGCTGTCCTATCTCAAATACAGGACAATGAAGAGCGGGTGATATACTCTGCTAGCCATCAACTCAGTGCACAGGAGCGTAATTATTGCGTGACGAGGAAGGAACTTTTAGCAGTAGTGCACAATGTCAAGTATTTCTGCCAATATCTCTATGGGGTTCAATTTACCATCCGGAGTGATCATGGGTCACTTAGATGGTTGACCAACTTTAAAAACCCAGAAGGACAACTTGCAAGAGGGATACAGATCCTTCAAGAATATGATTATCGTTTAGAGTATCGACCAGGAAACAAGCATGCTAATGCTGATGTTATGTCTAGACGACCAGAGCCATGTACACAATGTACTCATTGTTATGAGGTCACGGGTGAAGCAGGTGATGACGATTTTGAATTGGATGTTATCTCTGTTGAGCCAACCTGGGATCTGGAAGCTATTGCAAAAGCTCAACGGGAGGATGTAGAGTTGATGCCTATTATAAAGGCTTTGGAGGAGTCCAGTAAGAAGCCCATCTGGGAATCAGTCAGTTATGACTCACCTGCCACAAAACACTACTGGTATTTGTGGAACTCTTTGGAAATTAAAAGTGAGATTGTATGTAGTCGCTGGGAAGATGCCAGTGGCAAATTAGTGCAGTTGCAAATACTAGTCCCCTCATCTATGAAGACAACTATTCTTAACATGTGTCATAGTAACAATGTGGCAGGACATTTTGGTGTTCGGAGGACATATTTAAAATGTCGTCAACGCTTTTATTGGTATGAGCAAAAGGTGGATATCCGAGCCACTGTTTGTACTTGTCGTATTTGTGGCGCCCGAAGAAAGCCATTACGTGCAAGGAAAGCTCCACTTCAATTACAAGGGGTGAGTGGGCCAATGGAGAGGTATGCTGTTGACATACTTGGTCCTTTTCCCGAAACCCCAAGGGGAAGCAAAGTCATTATGGTTTGTGCTGATTACTTTTCGAAGTGGGTAGAGGCTTACCCATTGCCCAATCAGGAGGCCATAACGGTGGCAGATAAGCTCGTGAGTGAGGTTGTTTGTCATTTTAGGGCCCAGTCCGAATTACATTCCGACCAAGGCCGTAACTTCGAGTCTAAAGTTTTCCAGCAAGTCTGCTCTGTAATGGGAATTCACAGCCACGGACTACACCTTTCCACCCTCAGAGCAATGGGATGGTGGAGAGATACCACCGTACTCTCCTTGATAGTATTGCAAAGCTGTTGGAACCGGAGCTCAACAATATGATTGGGATTTGCAAATCCCATTGGCTCTGATGGCCTATAGAACATCCCCACATGAGGCAACAGGAGAGACTCCTGCCATGGTCATGTTTGGAAGGGAGTTAAACGTGCCCTTAGATTTGATTGTTGACACTCCAAAAGAGAACTTAGAAGAAACCGATTACGTTACTGATCTTAGACAGGGATTGAAGGCTGCCCACGCTAGAGCCAGATTGGTCTTGAAGAAGGCGGCAGTTCGTCAGAAGACTGCATATGACAGACGAGTTGGTGGCAAAGGATACAATATGGGAGACCCTGTCTGGTATTCAAATAATAATTAAAAGCGAGTTGAGTCTCCCAAGCTACAGAGTAGATGGATAGGACCCTTCCAGGTGTTGAAGAAACTATCTGACGTCACCTATCGGATTTTAGAGTGGGGTAGGAAGAAACCAAAGGTTGTTCACTTTGATCAGTTAAAACCGTACGAGAGTACTCTTCCAAAAGATTGGAAGATACCCCAGGAGAAAGAAACTGAGGATCCATTGAAGGTAAGTGAAACTGAGATGTCTCCTACAATACCCAAGGATCCACTGGAGGCGAATGAAACGGAGATGGGTCCTACAATAACAGAGCATCAACTTGGGACCAAGGACAGAGATTTGTCCTCTACGCTACCTGGAGGTTCATTTCAACCTGAAGATAACCCAATGAATACTGTATTTCCTGACAATCCAACAAAGATGAAAGAAGTTGATGTCCCTCCTACAATACCAGAAAATTCAGTGAAGAATGAGAAATTGGTTCAGAAGGAGGAGCCTGTAAGAACCTCTGGAGTTGAAGAATGAGGAAAGAATAGGACACACTAAGATGTACAAATCACTGAAGCTGAATGAGGAACCCATGCAGGACGACCAACAATATGTACCCCTCGTGCCAGGAATAGAAGATTCTACTGACGTGAAGAAGCAAAAATCTGCCCGGACGGATGAACCACTGGAGTTGAAGAATGAGGAAAGAGGAGGACTCTCTAAGATGTACAAATCACTGAAGCTGAATGAGGAACCAATGCAGGACAACCAACCATGTGTACCCCCATCACTAGGAATAGGGTATCCTACTGAAGTGAAGGATGAGGGGAATGGAGAATTTCCTATGATGTCCAACCCCAAGAAGAAACCCAAGGTTCCTGCTGACAATGGTCCTGGTAGGTCGGGTAGGAGGTTAAGAAAACCTCCACAATACTTAACTGACTATGACCTTACAACAGACTCTCTTTGTACTTTCAGGTTAGATATGCCTAGAGGGAGAAGTGATTACAGAGGTCAGTGGGGCCGAAATAGATGGGATGAGCCAAGAAGATATGACTGTCGTAGAGAAAGAAGCCGAAGCAGAGAGAGACCTAGCAAATGGGGAAGATGGGATGATAGGTCCTCAAGCAGAGAGACCATTGGATTACTACAAGAGGAGAGACACAGACAAAGTGCTCCGCCTAGAGTTTACTCCCCACCTCGTGACAAAAGAGCACGCTCTCCAAAAGTTCGCAAAGATTCAGCTTCTGGTTCCAAGTGGACTCAGTGAAACAGACTGCTCAAGCCACATCTGTGGCTAAAACCTTAGTGGACCTAATAGGCCAGTTGACCAAACCACCCGTGTCAGCATCTCAAACTTTGGCTGACTTGAAGGATTTCGATTCTCCTAGTATATCCAAGCCAGCTGAGGGTACTAACCCCACTCCCTCTAAGAAAACCAGTGAGAGAAGTGCACACGTGAATGAAGTTGACCTAACTACAACCACTCAGGACTCTCGTGTAATAATTATCCCTGAAGAGCTGACCGTCCCAACCAAATCTAGCGTTAAAGAACCCTTGTGGGGCAAGGCCGAGCTGAAGAATAATACATCTCAGAACTGGGGTTTGGGAAGGACCTTCAAGTCGAAGAAATTTGTCAACACAAGTAGTTCTACTGACACCAGCAGTTCTGATACAGAGGACTACTCAGGAAGTGAGGAAAAGAAAAGACTTGATTCCAAGAGATCAACATCCAGAAAAACGCCTGACAAAAATTTGATTGGGAAAAGTTCAGAGAAAAAGGGTTCAGATAAACCAGAGAAAAAGAGTTCAGAAAAGAAGAGTTCGATACCAGAGAAGACTCTACCTAGTGTAGGTAAAGTCTCCGAGAAAAGATTGTCTGCAAAACAGCCAGAAAAGAAAAATGTGTGTTCTACGAAGCCAAAAGTTCCAGAAAATCCCTTGCCAAGTAAATCCGATAAAACAAAGGAGAAACTGCCTGAAAAGAGAGCGAAGGAATCTGCACCCAGAGTGGAGAAGCCGGGTGTAATAGAAAGCAAGGAACCAAAGGTAGTTCTGAAGAGGGTTGATGAGGGTCCAATTATTATTATTATATAAAGATGGAAGTATGCTTTCGATATTTTGCCAGAAATGGCGACATTTTGGAGGATCAAACATTAATTAGCAGATATTCCAACCTACATATTTAAAGGGAAAGTAACATGATTAAACGGGAGACTTATTGACCACAGACCATTATAATTGTGAAGATGAACAGTACACATTAAAATCGAAGGAATACATATTAATCTACCAATGCACGCCAGACATGATGTAAACAATGAAAACATTACAATCTCTATGATCATACGCATACAATTCAGCAACAGAGACAATCTCTATGTATAATTATTTTACCGTGATTGGGATAGAAACAATATTATTTTAGTAGATGTGCAAACAAAAGACACAACAATACATGTGCAACAGACACTTGGGTTATGACATTATATGCGTCATCATAGATTTTCTTCCAGTAAAGCTGCATGCCAAAGACACTTATTTTATCGGCACAAAGATGCAAGATTCACTTATATTATTATCGACATGTGCGTGATACAGATATAAACAACGTATATGTATAATTATTTTATCGTGATTGGGATAGAGACTAATATTATTTTAGAAGATGTGCAAACAAAAGACACAATAC